CTATTAATATCCCCATTCTTAAGGGAGAGGAGACCAAGGCTACGTGCCTAAGTGCTGTGGAGCAAATGAATGAATGAAAAAGCATTAAGATTCAGAAATCATAAAAAGAGGCTGGGCGTACTGGCTCATGCCTGTAATCCCAGCACTTTGGGAGGCTGAGACGGGTGGATCCCGAGTTCTAGAGATTGAGACCCTCCTGGCCAACACAGTGAAACCTTGTCTCTACTAAGAATACAAAAATTAGCCAGGTGTGGTGGCACATGCCTGTAGTCCCAGCTACTGAGGAAGCTGAGGCAGGAGAATTGCTTGAATCCAGGAGGCAGAGGTTGCAGTAAGCTGAGATCACACCACTACACTCCAGCCTAGGCGACAAAGCCAAGACTCTATCTCCATAAAGAAAGAAAGGAGAGGCTGGGAGTGGTAATTTATGCCTGTAATCCCAGCATTTTGGGAGGCCGAGGCAGGCAGATCACTTGAGGTCAGGAGTTTGAGACCAGCCTGGCCAACATGATGAAACCCCTTCTCTACTGAAATACACAAAATTTAGCCGGGCATAGTGGTGCATGCCTGTAATCCCAGCTACTAGGCTGAGGTGGCCAGAGTCACTTGATCCCAGGAGGCAGACGGAGGTTGCAGTGAACCGAGATTGTGCCACTGCACTCCAGCCTGGGTGACAGAGTGAGACTCCATCTCAAAAACGAAAAAGATAAAACACCACTTCTCCTCCTTCCATAGGCGGTGGCGGTAGAAGGGAATATTCTCTTGGTCCAAGAAAAGTTGTCCTTTCTAGGCCCATGAGGCTACTCTGGGAGTCTGCTATCCTCCGGTGAGGGAGACCCCAGGGTCAGGCTGCACTCACATCTGTCTCTTGTAACTTAACTGGTTGGCACATCTCTTAGAAGTTGGTGCCTGCAGGTCCATTCCTGAGCCCCATGCCCAGTGCCGTGTGTGTGCCATGCAGAAGATTAGACAGGACTGAGAGGACGAAAAGATACTTCCCCAGACAAGCTCTGCAGAAAACCAACTCCAGAGACAGTCATTCCCCAACCTAGCCTGGGAGTAGATGGTGAAGGAATGAGCAAAAAATCCTGGCACAGTAAAAGGGATGATATTCTCTTGGGAGGAAAGATGGTGTTAGGAGCCCCATACAGTATTCTGTGATGAAATTCCAAGCCCCACTTAAAGTCCAGCAGTTTTATATACATATGTGAATTTTTTTTTTTTTTGACACAGTATCTCACTCTTGCCCAGGCTGGAGTGCAGGGGTGTGATCATGGTTCACTGCAACCTCTGCCTCCCAGGCTCAAGCAATCCTCTCACCTCAGCCTCCCCAAGTAGCTGGGACTATAGGCTCATGCCACCATGCCCAGCTAATTTTTCTATTTTTGTAGAGATGGAGTTTCACCATGTTGCCCAAGCTGGTCTTGAACTCCTGGGTTCAAGCAATGCCTCTACCTCCCAAAGTGCTGGGATTACAGTGTGAGCTCCTACACCTGGCCTAGGTCCAGCAGTCTAACAAATACACTGGCCCTGGACACTGCGTTCAGGGGCTTCTTCTACTGGACGACTGGATTCCAGTCAACTCAAGAGGTCAGGATTCCTTCCCTTAGAGAGAAAATGGGGAGGGCCAGGCTTTGCCCAGGGGTGAGCTCCCTAATCTAAGGTGGGGGCTCTTTCTTTCCAAAGGCAGTGATAATAAAAGGGGATATTCTCTTGGTCCAAGAAAAGTGGGATCTTTCTCCCACTTTAGATTACATGAAAACTCATCAGGCAAACAGTGTGCTCTAGGCCCCAGGGGCCCCGAGGCGCCTCTCCCTTCCCCCAGGGATGGCCCACCCTCTGAGGTGAAGAAAGGATCACCGAGGTGGCCTGGAGGCTGTGACTTGACTTGGTCCTGGGTGGAGAGCTTGGGTTTTATCAGAGGGAAGGGCTTTCATGCAGGAAGAGAGGCCATCCCTCAAGGCTGGGTGGAGCTGGAGGGAGGAGATCCCAGGGACATGGCAGGGAACTGGGTGTCAAGGCTAGAGGAGCTCCTCCAGGTAGCCCACGGGCAGCCAGGAGAACAGGGGGATCTGGACACACCTGAAAAAATAAACTTCATCTATAAAACACGAAACTTCATCTATAAATACGATACTGTTGGCCAGGCGTGGTGGCTCACATCTGTAATCCCAGCACTTTGGGAGGCCGAGGCGGGCAATCACAAGGTCAGGAGATCGAGACCATCCTGGCTAACACGGTGAAACTGGTCTCCAGTAAAAATACAAAACATTAGCCAGGCGTGGTGGCACGTACCTGTAGTCCCATCTACTCAGGAGGCTGAGGCAGGAGAATAGCTTGAACCTGGGAGGCGGAGGTTGCTGTGAGCCAGCCAAGATCATGCCACTGCACTCCAGCCTGGATGACAGCAAGAGAGTCTGTCTCAAAAAAAATATATATATACTGTTGAATTGTGCTACTAAAATGAGTGACTTTGTTTGTTTTGAACATATATCTGTCACTGCATATAACAGAATCTAGTGCATTTTGTTTAAATTGTGGTCAAAGCCACACATGGTGGCTCACACCTGTAGTCCCAGCACTTCGAGAGGTCAAAATGGGAGGATCACTTGAGCCCATGAGTTAGAGACCAGGCTGGGCAACATGGTGAAACCCTGTCTCTACAAAACGTATAAAAAGTTAGCCAAGAGTTGTGGTATGCGCCTGTGGTCCCAGTTACTCGGGACTGGGGCTGAGGTGGGAGGATTGCTTGAACCTGGGAGGCAGAGGTTGCAGTGAACCATGATTGACCCACTGCAAAAACAAACAGAAACGCAGGTTGCAGTGGCTCATGCCTCTAATCCCAGCATTTAGGAGGCCAAGGCGAACACATTGCTTGAGCTCAGAGTTTGAGACCAGCCTGGGCAACATGGTAAAACCCTGTCTCTACCAAAAACACAAAAATTAGCCTGGCATGATGGCGCACGTTTGTGGGTCCAGCTACTTGGGAGGCTCAGGCAGGAGGATTGCTTGGGCCCAGGAGGTGGGGGTTGCAGCAGTGAGCTGAGATGGTGCCACTGCACTCCAGCCTGGGTGACAGAGACTCCGTCAAAAAAAAAAAAAAAAAAAAGATTTTCAATCTTGCAGCCTCCAAGTGACACTGCGTGTTTTGAGACCCAGTTCAAATGCCACCCCTTCAGAAGTCTTTTTCTTCCTTCCAGAAGTTTTATGCCTCTCCTCTACTCTTCAGTCCCCAGTTCTGAAATGGAGCATCTCTGTTTTTGTTTTTTGTTTTTTTGTTTTTGAGACAGGGTCGCTGTCACTCAGGCTGGAGTGTGACAGCACAATCATGGCTTAGCAGCCTCTAACTCCTGGGGTCATGTGATCTTCCCACCTCAGCTTCCCAAAGTATCGAGATTGCAGGTGTAAGCTATTACACCTGGCCTTAGCACCTCCTTTATATAAAACACCAGTCCTGTGTGGTCAGTGTAGCCTTGAGACGAGGGCACTGGTACCCAGGGGGTTTGTGGAGGTGGGCTGCAGCCAGCTGGGAGGTGGAGGCCTGGCCCCTGGTCCCAACTTTTGATGACATGCTGTGTGACTTTGGGCAAGGCTCTTCTCCTCTCTTGGCCTCTGGGTCCTTGCCTGGCTGCAGAGGCTCTGTGTTAAAACATGCACTCTGAATGAAGAGACCCCCCCTCCGACCACCAAACAGGCTTTGTATGAGCAACAAGGCTGTTTATTCACCCTGGTGTGGGCAGGCTGAGTCCGAAAAGAGAGTCAGTGGAGGGTGGTGGGATAGGAGTTGGTTTTATAGGTTTGGGGTAGGCAGCAGAAAGTTACAGTTCAGGACGGCTTTTCAGGCAAGTTGGGAGGGATGTCATAGAGTCTGGAGTCAAGAGGTTGACCAAGGTCGGTTACAAAGTACGGTTGCCTTGTCAGTTGAGGTGGGAATAAGGAACAATAGAAGAATGTCTCAAAGTTCATTAGGCGCCACAGGGGTTGTCATTCCTTCTCCTTTTGTGGTTTTCCAGTTACTTCAGACTTTCTAGTTCCAGGAGGCCATCCATGGGTCACCATGGCGCGACCTAGGGTATGGCCTATGGTGCAGCCAGTTCAAAGAACTTTGCACTGTGGACCTGTCCTCCCTCAGCTTGTTCAGGGATGCAGAAGAGGTGGGCAAGGAGGGAGATCATGGATTCCCATTGGACAGACAAGGACACCAAAGGCTGGATGGGCAAGGCCTGATGGAGGTTCCTGAGCAAGCAGAGCACTTGCTGGGTCTCTGGTGCCGGAGTCCTGGCCCCAAGCCTGGTGAACCGCAGCCCTTGGTGCAGTCCTCTGCCTTCTGTTGCTTTGGTAGGTGGGCACCTCTTGGGCACCCAGGCTTCCTCTGCAATCAGGAGGATGGCTGGGCAGTTCCGCTAGAGCACTGAGTGGTCACCAAAGGCCCAAAGAAGAATGAGGCAGACTCTGAAAAGGGTCCTAGCCCCCTCCCTAACCTCCTTATCCAGTCTCATCACCCTTTCCTGCTGCTCACCAAGGACGAGTTGCTCATTCAGGCAACACTTCAGGGTGGAGGTTTCTCAGCAGTGGAGGGGGATGGAGTTCAGGGCTATAAAGAGTGTTGGGGCCCAGGGTCCTAGAAAGCGTGCCCAGGACTGCAGGCTGGGAACTTTTGGTCAGCATGCCAAATTCCTGGACTCCCACCTGTGCCTTGCATCCCAGCAGCAGGATTTTGAGCCAGAGATACTGTCCCAGCCAGCACATCGCAGGGCCCGGGGCATCTGAAAGGTCCATCCGGGAAGGCCAGGCTGCCTGGGGTGAGGTGGCAGCTCCAGGAGAGAACCTCCTCCTCTTGTGGTTTGCCACTCCAGGACTGGCCCTTTAAACCCGAGACCATGATGTCACCACAGACAGCAAGGGACGGGAGGGGGACTGCAGGCATGAGAATGGACTGCATTTCCCAGCAGCCTCTGGTGAACCACGCTCCTCCCGGCAAGCACTGACTCATCCCAGACTTTTAACTAATCCAGTGCTGGTTTCCAAGGGTTTTTTTTTTTTAAGTGTCTGGTGGTTCTGGGATTCCTATGGGGATGGCCTAGGGCACAGATGGCCCAGGCCGAATCTGTGGACTTCTTCCCATCAGTGTGTTGGCATCACACCACTTTCCTGGTGCAAACTCCTAAGCCCTCCTCTTTCCCTCTGCAGCCTCCCTTCCAGAATCCAGGCTTCCAGCCCCCAGCTGGACCCCATCCCACTTTGCTCTCGGGCTTCAAAAGCTTCGGCCTTCACCCCCCGAGTCTGCCCTCAAGGGTGTCCCCTTTGATTTGGCCGCTCACTTTAAACGGTGCGGGGACTACATCTCCCAGCGGCCCCGGGCGTTCCTGACGCAGCCCCGCCTTTCAGCCCGCGGGAGGTGCGGGCCGGGCGGGGGGAGGTGACTTGATGTCATCCTGAGCAGCTGGGCGGCGGGTGCCGGTGCGCACGGAGCCGAGCCGGGGCTCCCGCTGCGCTGCACCGCGCTGGGAGTGCGGAGTCCCAGGACTTCAGCGGAGATCCGCGCGCTGCAAGGGCGGGTGCAGAGCCAGCCGAGCGCCCGGTCCCGGCCCGGGGCTGAGTTGGGGGCATGCTCCAGCCCCCCCGGAGCCCAGGAGAGAACCCAGGAGCGCCTCCGCCCAGCCCCAGCTCCCCGAGCGGAACCGCTGCGAAGGTGCCCTGAACGGCCGTAGCCCTCTCCACGGGCAGCCCGCGGGGGTTGGCGACCGAAGTCTGGGTTTCTGAGAAGTGAGTGTCCCCCACCCCATGTGGCTTGGGGAACCAGGAAAGAGGATCTGAGGTGGGGGAGGGTGCCGGGTTCTAGGAGCAGGGTGGCATGGAGACGGGGCCTCCAGTCTTGGGGTTGTCCCAAGTGGCCGGGGTTAGTGGAGCAGTGATGCGTTCCATTCTGCAAGGGGCAGGGATTGGGGCTCCATTCTGAGTCCCGGCTGGCTTGGGGGATAGGCCCTATTTTGGGAGGGGTTGTTTTGGAGCCTTTCTATCTGAAAGATGGGAGGGACTTGTGCAGGGTGCGACGGGGCTGCACCCCTATTTTAGGGTCTGGGCAAGGATAGGAGGGAAAAGACCTGGACGCTCCGCGAAGCCTCCGGGCTCTCCTGAGGAACTGACAGGTTTCTCTGTCTCTTTCTTGCTGACCTAACTGCCTGACTTCGTTTTCAAAAGAGCCAGGGTGGGAACCCTAACTGGACTCTTCCGGACGCCCAGGAAGGACCTGAGGCCTGAGCCATCCTCCTTTCTGCTCTGCCTGCCCCCCAGGACTGGGCAGTTGCCAGAGGCCCTGGGGGGGGGCCCAGGACTGTGATTGTGCCCCCCCCCCCACGCCCCCACAGGATGGGACCAAGTTAGTCTGTGCAGTCTCACCTAGCACCTCCCAGGCCCAGAGAGAACCCCCAGGGCTCTGAAAGCTTGACCTGCAGCCTGACTGCTATGGAGACGAAGCTGCCCCCTGCAAGCACCCCCACCAGCCCATCCTCCCCTGGGCTGTCACCAGTGCCCCCACCCGACAAGGTGGACGGCTTCTCCCGCCGTTCCCTCCGCAGGGCCCGGCCCCGTCGCTCCCACAGCTCCTCTCAGTTCCGCTATCAGAGCAACCAGCAGGAGCTCACACCGCTGCCCCTGCTCAAAGGTGAGCTGGTTGCTGTCCACTGGGGAACCGAGACCCCGAGGGGACCAACAGGGCCGTGGGGTGGGGTGGGAAGCAGCCGGCAGCTGCCAAGAGAGGGAGTTTGGATGGCCCCTTCAGGCTAGGGACTCTGCAGTCAGAACTGACCCCAGCCCTCCAGCCCTCTCTGATGCTGACGCATGGCCTGACTGGCCTGTCATCCTTGGAGGTGGAACATCTGAAGGTGGCACCACCCTAGGGGCAGACCAGGGCCAAGGGTGGGGCCCACAGCCTGAGTTCCAGAGGGCCACTATCAGCCCAGCCAGCTGCCGGAGTCCTGGAGCAGGAGCTTGGCAGGGTTCCCTGGGATCACCACGTAGCTCCCTTCCCCAGCCCTGGGCCATGGGGCCAGACTGGCCAAGCCTGAGGGCACCGTAGAGATCCTTGGCCCTGAACCCCTCCCCGCTTGTGGCCCTTAGAACAGGGTACCACCCAAGAGGGAGGCAGTGGCTATTTGGGGCACCTGTGGAAAGCCCCTGCATCCAGGTTTGTGATCTTGCTTTAAAATCAGGCCACCATACTCTCTGAGCCTGGATTAGAGGAAAGAAAAGCAACCCTCAACCCCCAGGAATGAAGGAAGGGGCAGTTGTTTGTTGTCTGCAAGGAGCGGGAGATGGCACAAGAGCATGGAGCCTGGGGATGGCAGGGGCTGCTCTGGAGATTAGGAGGGTCTGCCCCACCCAGAGCTGGGGCAGCTGGGGCAGCCGGAGCCCAGGCTTAGGACGCCCTCGCCTCCTCAGATGTGCCGGCCTCTGAGCTGCACGAGCTGCTGAGCCGGAAGTTGGCCCAGTGTGGGGTGATGTTTGACTTCTTGGACTGCGTGGCTGACCTCAAGGGGAAGGAGGTGAAGCGCGCAGCCCTCAACGAGCTGGTGGAGTGTGTGGGGAGCACCCGGGGTGTCCTCATCGAGCCCGTCTACCCAGACATCATCCGCATGGTGAGCACCTGTTACCCAGGCTCCAAGGGCCGGCCGAGAGGGTGTGTGAGCCCGGTAACCTGTCCACAGGACCCCTGCATGGAGAATAACCCTGCGCTCTTCGGCTTGGCCTCCAGTCCACATCTTCCTTCCCCTCCACCTGCTGCTGCCTGACACCCACTGAATGCCTCTGGGCCTGCCCCACCTCCACACCTTCGCTTATGCTTGCTGGAGACCTGGAGTGCCCTGCCCATACCCCTTACCATCCATGGCTCAGGTGTCGCCTCTCAGAGAAGCCGCTCTCAATGCCTAAGCTGGAAATCTCCCTTTCCCTGCCCAGAATGCCCGTAGACCTCACAGCTTTCGACTTTGTTCTCACTGGATTGCACCTGCCTAGAAGGCAGGGATGTGTCTCATTCACCCTTGGGTTCCCAGCCCCTGGCCCAGGGCTTGCACGAACTAGGCATTCAGGTGATGATTGCCCAAGGAATGAACTGCTTGCTGGGGAAGGTGCTGAAACCAACCCATTAGAAGTTTGAATGAGGGCCTGGAGCAGCAGCTCATGCCTGTAATCCCAGCACTTTGGGCCAAGGTGGGAAGATCACGTGAGGCGAGGGGTTCGAGACCAGCCTGACAGTGAGACCTCATCACTACACAATTTAAAAGTTTGCTGGGCATGGTGGTGAGCTACTGTAGTCCAGCTATGCAGAAGGGCTGAGGTGGGAGTATCGCTTGAGCCTGGGGGGTTGAGGTTGCAGTGAGTCGAGATTGCACCACTGCACTCCGACTTGGGCAACAGAGTGAGACCCTGTCTTGGGGGAAAAGAAAGAACTTTGAATGAGGGACTTCCTGGCATCTGCCTTCGAGGGCTCTTCCTTAATGAACCCCAACTCTACCATGCAGATCTCAGTGAATATCTTCCGGACTCTGCCGCCCAGTGAGAACCCTGAATTTGACCCTGAAGAGGATGAGCCCAACCTCGAGCCTTCGTGGCCCCACCTGCAGGTCTGAAGGGTTGGGGAAAGCAGAGATCAAGGTTTCGGCGGAGAGCCAAGGCTTAGGGAGAGGGCCTCCTTAGCCCCTAGACTGTTGGATGAGGACCATAGGGTGGAGTGAGTGGGTAAGGCTGTTACTGAACTCACCTTTTTGTCTGTCCCCCTCCCTCAGCTGGTATATGAGTTTTTCCTGCGTTTCTTGGAGAGCCCCGACTTCCAGCCCTCCGTGGCCAAGAGATATGTGGACCAAAAGTTTGTCCTGATGGTGAAGTGGGGAGCCCAGGCTGGGTGGTACCACAAGGCAGGGGCAGGCTCTCTGAGGGGCTAGGGATAGGATGGAAGCAACCTGAGGTGGACCTCTCCCCTGACCTTGACTCTGGGTCCCACAGCTGCTGGAGCTGTTTGATAGCGAGGACCCCCGGGAGCGTGAGTACCTCAAGACCATCCTGCACCGGGTCTATGGCAAGTTCCTGGGTCTCCGGGCCTACATCCGAAAACAGTGCAACCACATCTTCCTCCGGTGAGTGGCTGCTGCTGCCCAACAGAGACCTGCCATTGCACTCCAGCCTGGGCAATAGAGGGAGACTGTGTCTCAAAAAAACAAAACAAGCAAACAAAAAAACAAGACTGCGGCAAAGGCTCCTGGGCTGCAGGGGCCCTCATGGAATTTTGCATGAACTAGGCATTCAGGTGATGATTGCCCAAGGAATGAACTGCTTGCTGGGGCAATTACGTGTTACATAATACTGATTATACAAAGCCCGTGAAGTCAGCAACAATGGCTATTTCCATTTTACAGATGAGGAAGTGGAGCCAAGGAGGTGAAGGAGTTTGTAGGGACTGGGGCAGTCCAGGGGCCTGGGAGCTAACTCTTTTGACCCTATCATGCCAGGCCATAAGGACCCAAAGAGAGATTCTTTCTGCAAACATGCATTGAGCACCAGCACCCACTGGGCATCAAGGCTCATGCGGCCTGGTAGTTGAGACCATGGCTCCTGAGGTATATGGCCTACATTTGAGTTTGGTTCCAATGTGAACTTGGGAAAATTACTTAAGCTTTTACCTAGTTTGCTCGTCTTTAAAATGGGGATGCTGACTGGGTGCGGTGGCTCACACCTGTAATCCCAGCACTTTGGGCGTCCAAGGTGGACATATCACTTGAGATCAGGAGTTCAAGACCAGCCTGGCCAACATGGAGAAACCCCGTCTCTACAAAATACAAAAATGAGCTGGACATGGTGGCATGCACCTGTAATCCCAGCTACTCAGGAGGCTGAGCCCAGGAGGCAGAGGTTGCAGTGAGCCAAGATTGTGCCACTGCACTCCTGCCTGGGGGACAGAGCGAGATTCCATCTCAAAAAATAAAATAGGACAGGATAGAATAGAATCGGGATGCTGCTTGTGCTAACTCAGGTACCATCATCAAGGTGGCTTGGGGCCTTTCCTCCAAAGCACTCAGCATAGCTCCTGGACTGAGGCCGGGACCCTGAAACATTGACTGTTATTGTTATTAGCTACAAAACGGGTGAGCCATGATCCCGGTCCTCCTGCACCTTGGAGTCCATTAGATTCCCTGCCTATTAACATTGGGGTTGGGCCGGGCGCGGTGGCTCAAGCCTGTAATCCCAGCACTTTGGGAGGCCAAGGCGGGTGGATCACGAGGTCAAGAGATGGAGACCATCCTGGTCAACATGGTGAAACTCTGTCTCTACTAAAAATACAAAAATTAGCTGGGCATGGTGGCGCGTGCCTGTAATCCCAGCTACTCGGGAGGCTGAGGCAGGAGAATTGCCTGAACCCAGGAGGTGGAGGTTGCCGTGAGCCGAGATCGCACCATTGCACTCCAGCCTGGGTAACGAGCGAAACTCAGTCTCAAAAAAAAAAAAAATTGGGGTTGTTTCATTTAACCTCTGAGTCTTGGTTTTTTCAACCATGTGATGGATTTCATAAGCCCCATCTTCCTGGATAACGTTGAGACTTACATTGTACAGAGTAGATGCACTAAGTGTTTCTCATTTTCTTGGTTGACTGGCAAGAAAGCCTTGAGCTTGGGACTCAGTGGCAGACGCAGCTGGGCTGAGAAGGGCATTTCAGTGGGCAGTGTGGATCTCAGTGGGGCCTAGTGTGGGTTGTTGAGAAGGGAGCGCAGCCTCTGGGTTGGGAGAGTTGGATGAGCGTACCATGTGGGTGAGGGTGGGTAGGCAGGATGCCTAAGGGGGCACCGGGTATACCCTGCTCGCTCTGAGCCTGCCTGGGTTCTTCTCTTGCAGGTTCATCTATGAATTTGAGCACTTCAATGGTGTGGCTGAGCTGCTGGAGATCCTAGGAAGGTGATTCTCCCGGGGCCTCAGCTAGAGCTCAAGATTATGAAAGGAGGGACTGGGGCCAGGTCACCTGAGCCCCCTTCCTCTTTTCTGCCTCCTCCTCAGCATCATCAATGGCTTTGCGCTGCCCCTGAAGACGGAGCACAAACAGTTCCTGGTTCGCGTCCTGATCCCCCTGCACTCTGTCAAGTCGCTGTCTGTCTTTCACGCCCAGGTGAGGCCCAGGCCTGGCCCCGCTGCAGCGGAGTTCTGGATAGTCAGTGACTCCTGGAGGTCAGATCCTCCAGGGAGCGCATCTCACCTTCGTCTTTAGAATTCTGTTCCCTCAGCCTTAGAGAATTCCCACTGGCCCTTTAAGGCTAACCTCAGATATCAGCTCTGTGAAGCCAGGCTTTTCTTCTCTCCCCTCCCTAGGCAGAATTAAATTCTCCTCCTATATTCCCAAAGATTTGGATACACAAATCTATTATGGGAGATTTTGATACACAAATCTTTTTAAATTCTTTTGAGACTGAACCCCATTCTGTTGCCTAGGCTGCAGAACAGTGGTATGAACTTGGCTCACTGAAACCTCTACCTCCTGGGATCAAGCAGCCCTTCCTCCTCAGCCCCCTGAGTAGTTGGGACCACAGACACATGCCACCAGGCCTGGCTAATTAAAAAAAATTTTTTTTTTGTTTGTAGAGACAGTGTCCTGCTATGTTACCTAGGCTGGTCACTCCTGGACTCAAGGGATTCTGCTGCCTCAGTCTCCCAAAGTGCTTGGATTGCAGGCGTGAACCTCCACACTAGTCATATTACAGAACCTTTTGCAAAATTTGTAAAGATGAGTTTGTTGACTGTCCCTTCCATGAGATCGTAGTTGTATTCCCAGCACACTGCGTGTGATGCCTGGTGCACAGGCAGGTGATAAATGCTCGGTGAATAAGAAAGTGACAGGCGGCTGGGTGTGGTGGCTCACGCCTGTAATCCCAGCACTTTGGGAAGTCAAGACGGGCAGATCACAAGGTCAGGAGATCGAGGCCATCATGGCCAACATGGTGAAACCCCGTTTCTACTAAAATACAAAAAATTAGCCAGGCTTGGTGGCATGCGCCTGTAGTCCCAGCTACTCGGGAGGCTGAGGCAGGGGAATTGCTTAAACCCAGGAGGCAGAGGCTGCAGTGAGCAGAGATTGTGCCACTGCACATCAGCCTGGGCGATGGAGCAAGACTCTGTCTCAAAAAAACAAAACAAAACAAGAAAGTGACAGGCAGTGGGTGAAGTATCTGGCATTCTGCCCTGGGCAGCAAGTCCTTGGCACCTGGTACCTTCCTGACCCATCTTTCATGTCTCCACCTCTCACCCCTTGCAGCTGGCATACTGTGTGGTGCAGTTCCTGGAGAAAGACGCCACTCTAACGGAGCACGTGAGTACCTCTGGGGGCTAAGGTAGCCTCTCACCCCTGCAGGCATGACTCCTTTCTGTCTCGACTCCCACAGGTGATCCGGGGACTGCTCAAATACTGGCCAAAAACCTGCACGCAGAAGGAGGTATGAAGAAGGGCTTTGGTGCTCGCCACAGGGAGGCTGGGGGGGCTTGGATCTAGAAGGCAGTCAGGGTGTGTATGTGGTGGGGGAGATGTGAGCTGCTGCCCCGCTGTCCCTACTGCCTTACCCACCTCACCCAGGTGATGTTTCTGGGGGAGATGGAAGAAATTCTTGATGTCATCGAGCCGTCCCAGTTTGTGAAGATCCAGGAGCCCCTTTTTAAGCAGGTGGCTCGCTGTGTTTCCAGCCCCCATTTCCAGGTATGAGGCAGGACAGGTGGGGATGGGAGCAGGGTTGGCCTGGAGAGGTTGGGTAGTTGACCTAATGCAGTTTCTCTAATCCTGGGTCTGGTAATGGGGAGATGCTGGACTTAGGGTCAGGAGATCTAGGGTGAAGCCTCGGCTCTGCTTTCCACTGGCTGAGGAGCCTTGAGGAAATCGCTGCTCCACTCTGATTCTGATTGTTTCCTCAGCTGTCAAATGGGCCAACCATCTCTCCACAGGGTGGAGATGAGGATGGAAGAGACTGAGTGTAAACATGTTTGGTAAACTGAAGTGTGCTCCAGAATGGGATGGAGCTGTCACCGCTTTCCCTTCTGCTAGTGGCCTTAGATTTCATGGGACTCGCTTTGGGCTGCAGCCAGGCTTCCCCCAGTCATCCCGGCTAGCTCTAACTCACGTTCTGCTGCAGGCATGTGCAGACTTCCTCCCATTCTCATGGGCCATAATCCAGTGGAAGTCAAGTCTTCCTCACAGTGATTCTGGCACTTCAGTTCATTAAACACCTAAACGTCTGGTATCTCATTTGATTCTTCTAACAGCCTGTGGAGATAGGTATTATTAGCACCTTTTTACAGATGAGAAAACTGAGGCTGGAAGGTTAAATGCCTCTCCCAAGGTGACAGGGCGTAGTGGAGCCTGTAGTGGTTAGGATTCACCCTGCAGCATTGGATTCTGTATCTAGTGCTCTTTTCCCTTCAACAAATTGCTTCCTGGGGCTCAGATGAGCCCTGAGGGTGGGATGTGTGAAGGTCAGGGGGCCTGGGCTTTGAGGTAGTGGTGGACACCAGACCTTGCATACAGAGACGCCACTGCCAGTCACTCACTCTGCCATCTTGTCTGCTCCAGGTTGCAGAGCGGGCTCTGTATTTCTGGAACAATGAGTATATCCTAAGCCTCATTGAGGACAACTGCCACACTGTGCTGCCCGCTGTGTTTGGGACCCTCTACCAAGTCTCCAAGGAGCACTGGAACCAGTGAGTGCCAGGCCTTGACCTAACTCACAGACACTAGGTCCAGGGCCAGCCAGTCCAGACCCTGGGGTTACTCCAAGCTGGAGAGCATCAGAGAGTGTCAAAAGATGGTCCCAGGGTGGTGAAAAGGACAGGGAAGTGGGCAGTGCTTGTGTTCAGTGTGGAATGCTATATGCGAAGGGCAGGGAAAGGGGGAGGTGGGCAAACAGAAGCTGTTTCATCTCCTTGTCCCTCCTTAACCCTGCCAAGAACCATCGTATCGCTGATCTACAATGTGCTCAAGACCTTCATGGAGATGAATGGGAAGCTGTTTGATGAGCTCACAGCCTCCTACAAGCTGGAAAAGCAGCAGTGAGTGTTGGGGGCTGGGTGTGGGGGGAGAACAACGGGGAGGAATGAGACCCCCCATGGCTGGAGGGAACCCGAGGACCACCCCAAACCCTATCTGATGAGATGCCACAAGTCCGCAAGTCTCCATGCTCCTGCCATCCTGTGCCTGACTGCCTGCCCTGTATCTTCCCATCATTCTTCCAGTAGCTCGGACTTGTTCTGACTCTCTGTAGCGTCCCACTTTTCAGCCAGAACCACTCAGAGCCCCACCCATCATCTTCTCCGTGACCGCAAGCTGGCATCAGTCTCTCCTCTGCTCTCTTCTCTCAGCAGAGGGTTTTTATGGAGTCACAGAACAAAAATCGTTCCATGCCTTCCCTTTGCCAGTGGGGTGGTAGTGAGGGAGTCTGGACTGGGGAGGGGGGGCAGGAAGGAGAGCTGCCTCACTTTCTCTCCCCAGGGAGCAGCAGAAGGCCCAGGAGCGTCAGGAGTTGTGGCAAGGTTTGGAGGAGCTGCGGCTACGCCGGCTACAGGGGACCCAGGGGGCCAAGGAGGCTCCCTTCCAGCGGCTTACACCCCAGGTGGCCACCAGTGGGGGTCAGAGCTAGACAGCACCTCAGAAGAGGAGAAGCTAAACCCAGAGCTGTCAGTCCCTCTATCCCTTCTCCTGTTCAGGGGCCCAGAGAGAAACACACCTACCCCTGGCCTTGCCAGAGTGGCTTCTGAGGACTCCCTGCCCGGCCCAGCTTTCACTGGGGGGAGACGAGGAGAGGCGATGGTGGTCTTGGCAACAGAATGCTCAGCCCCTCGTGGCAGGACTTGACAAGGGCAAGCTTGACCAGGAAGCTGCCATCAGGGATCTTCCCCTGCCCCGCAAAGCTGGGCTCCGGGCTGCAGGCAGGCTCCCACCCTCTGCTCCTGGCCTTGGGCAAGGGCACTCAGCGCCTCGCCTGCCCCTGCCTTGGCCAGCACGAGGTCTTTTCCTCATCCCTATGGGGTCCATGGTCTATTTATTCTTGCCCAGCTCACCCTCTACAAAGACACTGTCCTGGGGGCACACTCCTCCCCTCCCTCGCTGTGTACTTCCTTGTCCCCTTTTTATTTATTGGGCAGGGGGAGGGGGAGGGCACAGGCAAGAAGAGATTCACAGTGTCCTGGGGTAAGGGGGGGGGTCATAGTAATCATGGTCTACCCTCTTTCCCTGGCTGGGGGTAGACTTAATAAAGAGAGAAACTCAAGAACTGCTTGCTTTATTTAGGGGTAAGGGAAAAGAGGGAAGTAAAATGATGAAAGATTGGTTTAGAAGAGCCAGAGAGAGGCAGGGAAGAAGCAGAGACTCCCCTCTTCTCACGAGGTGACAGTCACAAAATCTTACGACGGTCAGAGTTGGAACAACGCCCCGTTACTTAAAAAAATTCCATAGCAAGTAACCAGCAGGGTTGGAGTTCCTTCCAGTTTTTGAATCTCATACCCAGGTTTTCCCCACCAGAATGGCAAGCCCTGTGCCCCAGGGGAGGAAGGAAGGGAGAGGATGGGCTAGTAGCGCGAGAGGCGACACATGTCACACTGGCAGGCGTGGGCAGTGAAGATCTCGAGCTCCTCCCTCTGGCTCCCCACGCACTGCAGCTGTACTTTCACCTGCAGGAGGGGAGTCTGTGCTGTAGGCCCCTTTCTCAGGGCCTCCATCTCCCACGTCTTCCCACCTCAATGTCCACCCACCAGGCTCGGGCCCTCCTTACCTTCTTCAGGCCACTGATGGTGCAGCACTGAGAGACAGAGGTGATATTGTGCCTGTAGCCACTGGCCACCAGCACAGAGTACCGAGAAGGGAAGGCGCTGGACTCACAGTGGCCCACACAGGCCCGTGCCATGTGGGAGCCCTGGCAGGTGCCTTGGCGGTCACTTCGCACTGTCACATTGAAGGCTAGAGGGAGACAAGCAGTAGACGGCGCCTCTGCGAAGGTTCGCCTCGCCCCAGCTCCTGTTGCCTGTGCCTCAGCATGGGGCCCTCTAGGGTGCTGCCTGCCCCACCGTCCAGTCTATCAGCTCTTTGCTCCCACCCAGAACCTCCACTCCTCCTAGCCCTCTGGTCCCAGAGGTACTCACGGTGCAAGTGGCAGCCTGGGATGGCTGCCTCTTGGCCCCAGCCTTCAGTGACTGCTAGGACCAGCAGACAGAGGACCAGGGTTTGGGGGGATGCCATGAGCATCTGAAACACAGTAGGGAGATGTTTCTACATGGGTGTAGAGATGGGATGGTGAGTTCTTTAAATACTGCATTCCAGGTGAGCGAGCCAGGGCTGGCTGGTCTGACAGGTGAGGTGTGCCTGAGTGGTACTGCCTTTTCCTTACATCTACCTTGTGTGTGTGTGTGTGTGTACAGGTATGAGTGTGAGCAGGTGTCTCTGGATAGGACCTGTGTGTCAGCCTACTGTGCAATGATTCTCCCTTCCCTGGAATTTCCTTCACCATCTGGAGCACAAACATCTTCCTCCCTCCATCTGCCCCTTCTTAGCCTGCAGGGCCCTCATCCACATTCCCAGGCCCTCCCCAGAGCTCCTCCTGCCTCTGCGAGCTCACCACTTCCGAGGCCCAGGAACAGAACGGCTTGCAGTTTTCCTGTGCCTCCCGCTGGTCTCTAGACTGGTGCTGGCTCTCCAGGCTTTTATTTGCCAGCGTTTTGGAGCCACGCCCTCTTGGAGATCGGCTTTCAGGCCAGCCTCCCCTGCCTGAAGCCTCAGAGCACTCCCACCTGCATCTTGCTGTTTGAGGCGTGGTCCTTGGAGAGTAGCTCCTGCTGTTTTCCACTTCCTTCTGGAGAAGTCAGATATGTAGAGAAACCCACAAGCTGGTGGAGTGTGCAGCATGTGTGCAACTGATGACAGAGGGGTCAAGACTCTCGGCTGAGATGTGGGTACCTGGGTTATCTTCTTTGCTGTGTGACTTTGCACAGAACACTTCCCTGTTCAGGGCCTGATCACCCCTAACTTTACTGTCATTTATTACTATTATTTTGAGAGAGTCTGGGTCTGTCGCCCAGGCTGGAGTGTGTGGCGTTATCACAGCTCACTGCAACCTCTGCCTCTCAGCCTCCCAGGCTCAAGCCATTCTCCCACCTCAGCCTCCTGAGTAGCTGGGACCACAGGCGCACCACTATGACCATCTAACCTTTGTATTTTTTTGTAGAGATGGGGTTTCGCCATGTTGCCTAGGATGGTCTTGAACTGCTAAGCTCAAGCGATCTGCCTGCCTAGGCCTCCCAAAGTGCTGGGATTACAGGCATGAGCCACTGTGCCTGGCCACACCCCTAACTTTAAAACCACTCAACTCAGCCTTGCTTGACTTTTTCTAACTGCAAAGGAAAGAGACTGGGGAACTCCTTCTTAGGGACCCTAACCCCTTCTTAGGGACAAGGGAAATTATACCAGTGGATGTCTCCTGAGATGTGCTTGGTAGCAGAGCCAGGGGGGTTGAGGGTTGCTGTCTGTTTCAGAGCTGCATGGCCACGGTGTCAGGTGGATGATTTGCATCCTGTGCTACAGAGTTACGTTCTGAGCTGGAGTGCCCCTCTAGCCCTGGAATAACAGGGACCTGACTCCTGAAAGGGCCTGAAGTCATCAACACCAGCAAAGCTGATTGATTTGTCCAGCTCTGGTTTTATAGATGAGGCAACTAAGGCTCAAAGAAGGAAAGTCACTAAAAGTCACCCAGCTAGTTAATGCCAGGGCTGATTTCAAACCCAAATCTGCTATCCATCCATGGTGCTAAACTTGGAGCAAGAATGTGGCAAATTGGAAAAAGACCCCTAGGCAGCAGTGGCTAGAGGGGTTGGGGCAGGGTACAGAGCTGAAGGAAGCCTGTGGTGGGTGATTCTGGGCAGCCCCCTTCAAGGTCACTGCCTCACTGTCCAGCTCAGAAAGAGCAGGACCAGTTACACAGACTGCCAGAGGTAGAAGCAGAAGGCATTTTATAACTCGCCAAATCTTACCCTCTCATTTTCTGGATGAGAAAATAAGAGCTCAGAGGAAAACAACTTCCCAAGGCTTCACTGTAAGCTAGTCAGTCAGGGTGGGCATTCACAGCTCCAGATTTGGAGCTATGCCTCTTAGCAGCTTTGTAAAGCAGGCCATCTTTGGGAATAGTAAAGGCTGTAAACATCATTTGAGAGGCATTAGTGTTACCAATGTCACTAATCCTTAAATCCCCACACCCTACGGTTTCCTCATCAGCCCCCATCCCCTCAAGTCCAGGATCCTGGTTTGACGGGTCCTCTGTAGCAGTCCAGCCCCTACTCTCTCACTCATGAGGGGCACCCTGTGCGTGTGATCACCTCTGTTTAAAGCATTTGGGTGACAAGGCTCATTACCTTACAAGGTAGCCCATTCTAATATTGGACATCTCTAACTGGTAAAAAGTGACTTCTTTGTTGTGAGCTCAAACGAGTTTCCCTACATTTCCATAGATCATTTTGGTTCTCCACAGCCACACAAGGCTCTAGTGTCTGTTCCAGATCAGCCCTTTAGTTAAAGGCAGCTCAGGTGCCCAGGCCTTCTCTAGGGGTGCCAACCTGGACTGACTTCCAGTTAATCTGATAACGAAATCTGCATTACTGTCAAACAGCTAGAGGGATAGAGAAGTGGGAAACATTTTGTCTATGGAGAGGCTATCATTTGGGGCCAAACTGGAACTGAGGAGGTCTCTTGGGTGAGCAGGGCTCAGGACAGTGAGTCTTGAAAGACCCTGTTCCCTAACCCCTGGCACAGACTGACATACCTAAAGTTATCCTGTGAACAGTAACCAGGTAGACCTAGGGAAGTTTCACGCATTTTCTCTGTATCTTGAGGGAAGAATTTGTTCTCTCTTACTCTGTTCCACTAAATTCAATCAATAACTCTTCATAAATAATTTATTGTCATTAGGATTCTAAGTGCTGAAGACAAAAGGCCTAAACTGGCCCTCAGGACATGAACATTTTAGAAAGTTCCATTCTTTTCTTTATGTTTTAAATTGGGAAACAAAATCTATTATAAAGGGGTAAAGGACAGGATAAACCCACAGAGGACTCAGTACGGGGCCCTCATTCCCTACAACTGAAGTGTCATAAGAAAAGGATAGAGTTGGAAGACGAATGGCTCGGGAAGAGTCACTGCAAGAGATGATCCTCTTTCCAGCGCTGCATTTGGAAGGCTCAAGAGTGGCTGTTCTTCCTGAAGAAATATCGAATTGGGAAGAGAGAGCTGCAGGAATGAGAGCAGAGTAGACTAAGATTCTATGAGGTCTCCTTCCCTTCTCCCCATTTCCCATTAGTGCTTCACTAGCTAGGGCATTTTTGCTCTGGGGAACCATTGAATGGAAATTCAAGACTGGAATAGCATTTGAAAAGGTACTCAAATTAGATTACACTCAGGAGGGGGAAATAAAGAAACAGAATTGCAACGGGATAGCTGAGAGAGAGAAAGAGAGAGAGACATTTGTAACTATCCTCTGGAAACACAACCTAGATTCAGAGGGGAGAATGGAAATGTTTTGGTAACCAAATCTTCTGAATGGCTCAATAAAATAGGAATAGATTTTGTTCAAGTTAATGTTTTTTGTTTGTTTGCTTGTTTTGAGACGAGTCTCGCTTTGTCGCCCAGGCTGGAGTGCAGTGGCACGATCTCGGCTCACTGCAACCTCTGCCTCTTGGGTTCAAGCAATTCTCCTGCCTCAGCACCCCCTAGTAGCTGGTATTACAGGCACATGCCACCACTCCTGGCTAATTTTTTCTTTTTTGTTTTTGAGATGGAGTCTCGCCCTGTTGCCCAGGCTGGAATATAACAGCACGATCTCAGCTTACTGCAACCTCCACCTCCCGGGTTAAAGCGATTCTCCTGCCTTAGCCTCCTGAGTAGCTGGGATTACAGGTGTGCGCTACCATACCCAGCTAGTTTTTTTTTTTTTTTTTTTTTTTGTATCTTTAGTAGAGACCGGGTTTCAGCATATTGGCCAGATTGGTCTCGAACTCCCGACCTCATGATCTGCCCACCTGGGCCTCCCAAAGTGCTGAGATTACAGGTGTGAACCACTACACCCGGCCAATGCCAGGCTAATTTTATATTTTTAGTAGAGATGGAGTTTCACCATGTTGGCCAGGCTGGTCTTGAACTTCTGATCTCAGGGTATGCCCCTGCCTCAGTCTCCCAAAGTGTGGGGATTACAGGCATGAGCCACGACCCCCCGTCCAAGTTAATGTTTATGGAGCT